TAACTTGAAGGAACGGTTCTGTATCGAACCAGAGTTGCTGTACCAAACAATCTCAAATAATTAAACTCACAAACTCTCTGAAAAATTATTTTAAGTCCACTGGTCTTCTCAGCACAAGGGGTTAGAGCAACTAGAAAGAAAAATATTACATGTTTATTTTCAGCAGTGGACAAACTAGTCTTAAAAAATGCAGCTGTGCCTTCTTCTCTCCAGAGAGTAATGCTTTTTTTTTTTTCATCCCCAACAGCAAGCTCACAGTTCAAAACATGTCATTAAGCTTTCACTGGTGTTATTTGGGTTTCTAGAACATGAAAATTTAAGTGCCAGACAAGCTCTTACCAGATTATTATGGACTTGAAAAGAATATAGGTGCTTTCTTGCTTCTTTTAGTAAATACTAGACACAGAATGGGAAAATTTTCTTCCCAAATACAGAGCAATACCAGTGACAACAGTCAGTAAAAAACATCTCCTCCTTACACTTTGTTTACTATTATACACTTCTTATAATTCTCTATTATTAACATTCATATTTTCTGATTCTTTTCACACTCTTGATTATTTTGTAACTACAGAAGAAGCATTTCTTTCTGTTACTATGCTGGCTGCACTTAAGCATAAACACAACTCCCTCTTTTCTAAATGAGACTCTGCCTATCTCTCTGATTCTCTGTCTTGTATGGTACAAGGCAGTCACACTACAATAAATTTTTGACAGACAGACATCTAATCATAAACACCTCTGGAAACTTACCACCAGACTTTTAGAAGATTATTTTTCTTCTTCATAGTGCTAGTTTCATTTTCCAGATACATCAGAACCCAACTAGGAAGCACTCAGGGAAAAAATAATCCATAAGAACAGCTTAGATAAGCAAGGAACAGCTAAATAACGCATGTGTGTTCACATTCTTTTCAAACTCGACAGAGACAGAACCTACAGTTTTGTCATCTGACATTCATATATATTAACAAGCATTTCAGGAAGCTTTGGAAGTTGAGACAGATGCCAAGCTGAATTCACCTGGGCTGTGGGAAAAGCTATGCTCAAAATCACAGAATCATAGAATCACAGAATGTGTGGGGCTGGAAGGGCCCTCTAAGGGTCATCTAGTCCAACCCCCCTGCAGTGAGCAGGGACATCTGTAACTAGATCAGGTTGCTCAGAGCCCCATCAAGCCTGACCTTGAATGTCTCCAGGGATGGAGCCTCCACCATCTCTCTGGGCAACCCAGTGTTTGACCACCCTCAGAGTACAGAACTTTTTCCTAATGTCTAATCAAAATCCACCCTGCTCTAGCTTAAAACCATTGACTCTCATCCTGTTGCTACACACCCTTGTAAACAGCCCTTGCCTGGCGTTCCTGTAGGTCCCCTTCAGGTGCTGAAAGACGTGACAGGCTCCTTGTCTACCCAGGGTCTGGAAACACACGGCCCTCTGCTCCCGCTCACCCACCCGGACCGGTGCCCAACCCCCGGGTGTGCGATCAGAGGCACTGCCATACACATTTACCCCCGCCAAGAACATAACTTGTATGAATAAAAATTTCTGTTTACTGCTAGTTCACACCCTGGTAACAAACACTTTGCCTAAATGTTCCATGCTAAGTCTGTTTAGACAACAGCAAAGCCAGTGGCCTGGAGTGGAAGAAGGAGAATCTGACGCTACGTTCTAGAGCTGATGGTACCGCTACGCGGCGGCTGCTGCTCAGTTTTCTCACAGTCCAGGACGTGCAGGTCTCACCTCGTTATGGGGCCAGCGAACACAAAAGCATTCCAGGTCCTCCAGTTTACACGCAGCTGGTGAAATCTTGAGGGGAAGAATGCTGCTCTGCCCAAGCTTTCATAACAGCCAATAAATTAAAAAAAACCAAACAACAAAACCCTCACATTTAAACCAATAAATAAATACCAGTAAAACAAAATGTTTGCAGTTTGTTAAAACCAATAAATTCTTCCCGCTGTGAAAGCAATGGGCGATGCTTTAAATCTAGGATGCTGCAGCTTCTGAGATGGCACGACTCACTCCGTTGGGACAAACACGGCTATTACTTCCTTGGCCATCTTCTGAGTGAATGTTCCTTGCATCATTGTAGATGGAAACAAATTCACATCACAAATAAAATGGGACAGAAAGAAAATCCACCAAAGAATAAGGCAATTCAGTTCAAACTAAATCTTTATTCATATGGAAAATACTACTTTTTCTTTTTGTAAATTATGCTAATAAATAAAAATACCCAGAAAGAACTTTGCTTGGAGTTAAGTGACTAGGTACAGCCACATGAAGCTTTTAATTCCCGTTAAAACCACACCAACAATCATGCAGACTGGCTACAAGAAAGCAATATAAACTATATTTTATTTTGTGCAATCTTATCATACAATCTTAATGCTACCTTCTTCTAAACCATTTCACATAGATTGAAATGCGATTTCAAAACAAATGTTATTAAGGGACACGTTCTACACTTATTCCACATATGGAGCTGTGTACAGCTTAAGCCCATAAATGTATAACGTAGGTAAGCATCTAAAGAAGGTAAAAGAAAAGAGGACCCCATTCTGAAAATTCAGACAAGTTTATAAACAGAAGAGAAGAAAAGCTCACACCTGTGAGTTCTCAAAAGACAAATACATTACTAAAGCATAACAATAAATTATATTAAATTTAATAATGTTCATCCTTAGAATGGTTCTTTCTGAGGAAATATCACTTAAAGCACACCAGAACTTTAATCGCCAGGAGTTAAACTGTAAGTTCACGCTTCTCAATTTCCCACTTGGATGCAATTTTGTTTTATAATAGGCTTCGGCCTTGTGAGCAGATTATTTACGATACATTTAAAAACAAACTGAAAAATGTTAAGCTGTGCATGGAACACATCTTCAAGGTGAGAAACAGGCACTTGACAGTATAATGTGCAAGGCAAAACCTTTACTGGTCACAGTATAAATAGTTTCTTCAGGAGCGGAATTAGAAGTTCTCCTCAGCCCATCTTGGAGAGCAGAACACGGAGGGCTGCTAGCAGACCTTCCTCTGTTCTTTTAGGTCAGCACCAACCACCAAACTAAATCCTAGCTCATGCCTTAGAGGGTATTCCATAAACCTATAAAATGCAGCATACTTTACCCAAGAATACTAATTCTTTCCTGTAATTAACCTCAGCACACGTACTTGCCAAAGGCAAATACAAAATTTACTGACAGACTAAACGTCACAATATAAATGCTAACCCTTTCTCCTCTACTAGAATTTTGTTTTAATATATAATGCCAATTTTACAAACACGTTTGCCAGTTACAAGATACTGTTTCGTAGCACAAAACTCTGACATTCTTTTATAAAAACTTAAGAACAATGTCTCTTAATGTCCCGTTAATACCAGGGGGAAAATCGATCAAACCAAACAAAAACATTTTGCTACAGTTTCTCTCCAGGCACATCTCAAAGCGAATCTCAGAAAAAATAGCTGTGCCCAAACTGTAAGCCCTAAGACTATACATTAATTGGAAGAGAGAGGAGAAAGAGAGAGCTAAGAAAGGAGTAATGTGGCAGCAACACGAACAAGGTACAAGCTTAGAAGAAAATTGCATGCATCCCTTTTCATCAGCATAAGCTTCTTGCAAAAATACAAGACATCCATTATACAAAGGTAGATACGCTCTCTTGTAAAAACGCAGATTTTCTCCAAAATGCTAAACTTGAGCTTCCGACTGTACTGGCCGTATTGCTAGTCAACAAGTTTTCAGTTCTGTTACACCAGTTTTAACAATCAGGAGAGAAAAGGCCTATTGTTCGTTTCTTAGGAAACTTTTGGTTTGGTATTTTTGTTTTGTTTTGTTTTTCTTCCATTAACTTAAAGCAGTATTTATACCGGTCATATGAGCAATATGGAAACCAACTTTGGATCTGACACCAGCCACACTGCTAATGAGAGACAATACGCTAGAAAGAGGCACTTTTAGTATTCTTATATAGATTTCAAATCTTAAGTATAACGCTTCACCTTCTGTTACCAAAAAAGGACACTATCAGTAGCTAATAAGACAGAGCTTTCTGACAAAAACGCTTCAGAAGCCGTGTGCATGCACATTACTTACAATGGCTCAGTTACTCAGTCACCCTGAAAAGGCCAGAGTAGAATTCAATCACTGCTTATGGAGCAGGGGGGAATGGACAACAAAACAAAGTTGTTTGTAGGATCAGGATCAGCTACTGTAAAAATGAAAACATAAGGCCTTCCGTACAAAGCAACTTATCCCTAGATTCAGCGCTACAGATACGGAATATTGAGGTCTTCTTGTACTCATTGCTGCTTTCCAAATTTTCAATCTTCTTTTATTTTTGGCATAACACGCCTCTTCAAAACCAAGAAGCTGAGCTTTGCCAAACAATGTTTAATACGTTAAAAAAAAAAAAAGAAAAAAAGAAAGAAACCCAACAAACAACCCCAACTCTGGAAGACCCATTTGACCTGACTATTGGAGAAGATCCTGTGACAGAAGGAATTACATTAGAACAGTATTTTCCCATTTCACACAGCGTATAGCACGTTGTGACAGTTGAGCATCTTGTATGCACAAGCTGAAGCATATGCTGAGGCTGAAGATTTGGAAAACAGTCTACTAAGTATAAGCACTCTCCCTGCAAGCAACAGATCAGTATTCTTCGTTAAAAAGGGACAGCATCAAAATTACAATTTTGAGTGGCCCTCAAATACTAGGAAAAAAACAGGACCTCAAGCTAGTGGAAGTTCCTACATAAGGCAGTCAAATTTACAACCAGTGTATACATTCACTAAGGAATTACATTTTTTTGGTAAAACCAACAATTCAACATACTGCAGAGTCTGAATGTGAAATATAGGCACAAAATAGATTCTCTACTCTTTTTTTTTCTTCAGTGTGGAAAACATAGCTATTTAACAATGTAATAAGAAAATTTACTATCAGGTGAGCAAAAATTTGTAACAATCTGAATAAAACAAAGTACTGTATAAAGGTGCAATATTGAGCAGATTTGATTTTGGTTTAAATGTATGAGTAAATCATGGAACCTTTCTCTTCTTATCTATAAAGTATTCCACATCACCAGCATCATTCTAGTTCTTCCCAGTTGTCAGTAAGGTTACCTTTGCTTTGTCGTCTAATGCTCACCAGCTTCCCAGCTGATTTGATACTCCACCTGGAGCTGTTTCCTGAGCTGGCCAGGTTTGTGTATTTTGTGGAGCCTTTGGTTTCATCCTCCCAGCCTGACCAGGCTGTATTAAAGTCACTTAAAGCAGTTGCCGCCTCGCTGGCGGAGTCAGTAGCGGTGATTTGAGGTGGTTCCCATCCCTCAATCTCATCCGGTTTCCTAGCTGGGACGTTCTGCTTTATCACCAAACTGTCCCAGAAACCTGGCTTCTTTTCAGACTTCATCTCTTCCTTTAGCTTGAGATTTGTGCTAGAAAAACAACAAAGGTGAGGTGACTCGTTTCTTCATTTAACAACGCGTGTGATGGTTCTTAATAAACATTCAATCAATTTATAATTTTTTTATAGCAAGGGATGCTAAGCAGTCGTCAGCCCTATGACAGCACAGCCATTACTGTCAACTTTGGGAAAAACAACCTCATGGACCGGTTAAGCCTAAACACAGCAGAATCTCACAGCGATAAATCAGAAGTGGACTGACTGCTATAACAAAAGAACTTAGACTGCCTCCCAGTGAATTACAGAGAACTGCCTTTGGAAATGCCTGAAGTGTTTTAGCGTGCATTAGAACAACCTAGGATTTTAACAAAAAAAAACACAAAGAACAAACCCAGAGGTAGGATAGCAGAAGGAATACGAAAATGTCCTGCCTACCACCAGCTTTAATAATCACTCCCTATGTTCCTCAGTTTCATACACCTGTTATCACCCTGCCAATTAAAACTTATGCCCTAAAGTAGTTGATGTATACAGTATTGAGACTTTAAAGATACCAGCATTTTTTTTTCATTAAGATCTGCACAATATTTTGGCAACAGCTGTTTTGTATCTCTGGTGAGAACTCCGAAAATTCCCCTCCCAAAACCAAGAAAAAACTACCTTTGTTGTAATTTCTCTTTGAGAGAGACATTTGAAAGGCTACTCATATTATTACATATTTTATCCCATCAAGACCCTTCAGTCTGAATTATTTCATATTTGCAGTGTGGAGTATTTAATATATTGGATGTGAAATGTTTATGCCTAAGTTTATAGGCAGGGTTATGTATGTAATCAAATAATGGACCACGAGGAAAGGCTTAATACCAGTGGTGAAACACACAACCTTCAAGGTTCAATGAGCTAAATAGAAAATTGGAAACATTATCTGCTAGTAGCATACAAATTCCTTAGCCACAAATAAAACGAAGATTGACATTTTTTAATATTTCTATGTAAAAAGCTTTTTTACCATTAATGATAGCTTGACCCTACTATATTTAAATAGAAGCCACTGAATCAATACCTTTAAAATTACTTTCCTTTACTGAATTTTGAATTTATGATCACATTTTTCAGGATTTTCCTCTTGCTAAAGCCAGTCACAGACTCCAAACACTCTTCTAACATTTAATGGGTAGCACACTTGAAAAGCTGCATTTTTCTTTAAAAGGAAAGTTAAAATCATGGTATTCAGTTACAGGAAAATACTCTCAAACTTAAACTACAGGCAGTTTTCACAGTGATGCTAAAATAGCTATTTGTGGTAATGGTTTTCATACTTCTGCTCTCTTCACTGGGTTACTTGGTTCTTATATTCAACATCAATTGCAAAAGATACTTGAAGCAAACTAGCATCTTAGTAACACTCATAAAATTACACAGGGACAGTAACTGGGATCTTTGGGGAAGTTTTATGGAATGGAAATATATGTATTTATATTCTAAATTTGGGGGGGTTTATACACATATATACAAACACACACACCCTATATGCGCATATATACACTTGTATACTGAAATACATATATTTCAAAGTAAACTGGAAACAAAACATACTAAAACAAGTCTTAATTAAAAATAGTATTTGGCTGGAACAGCTGTACTGATAAGGTGGCACACTTTTTCCTGTTTGCAACCCAGGTAGTAAGGCAGCACACGTGGGTAAAGCCTAAATATACTTGTAACAGCACAAAAGTTGGTCCTGGGAAGAGTCTGCTCTGTTCAGAGAACAGCTCTAACCACAGAGGCAGCAGAACTGTTCCAAGTCATGGAGTCACAGAATGTGTTGGCCTGGAAGGGACCTTTATAGGCCATCTAGTCCAACCCCCTGCAGTGAGCAGGGACATCTCTAACTAGATCAGGTTGCTCAGAGCCCCGTCAAGCCTGACCTTGAATGTCTCCAGGGATGGAGCCTCCACCACCTCTCTGGCCAACCTGTTCCAGTGTCTCACCACCCCCACAGCAAAGCACATCTCATCTAAATCTACCCTGCTCTAGTTTAAAACCACTGCCCCTCATCCTGTCGCTACACAGCCTTGTGAACACTCCCTCCCCAGCTTTCCTGTAGCCCCCTTCAGGTACTGGAAGACCACTATAAGGTCTCCCTGGAGCCTTCTCTTCTCCAGGCCGAACAACCCCAACTCTCAGCCTGTCCTCCTAGCAGAGGTGCTCCAGCACTTTGATCATTTTTGTGGCCCTCCTCTGGACCTGCTCCAAAAGCTCCATGTCCTTCTTGTGCTGAGGGCTCTAGAGGTGGACACAGTGCTCCAGGTGAGGTCTCACCAGAGCAGAGTAGAGGAGCAGAATCACCTCTCTTGACCTGCATCTCCTGACGTTTCTTTTGATGCAGCCCAGGATGCAACTGGCTGGCTGGGCTGCGAGCACGCATTGGTGGCTCACGTCCAGCTTTTCATCCACGTATATCCCCAATTAAAGTCCTCAGCTCCAACAGGGAAGATTTGCAGATCCTGGTATATAGCTACTTCACATAATCTTTTTAGATCTAGCCAAGACTTCAAAAGAGGAAGCAGAGCATGTAAGAAAAAAAAAAATAATTTGTAAACTGAACCATAATTAATCCCAAAGAGGGAGGGTGGGAATGACCCTTTCAATCAGAAACTTTTACTCCTCTTCTGCTGTGAAAAATTATTGCGTAGGTAAGTTCCCTTTTTGTCCCGACAGACCTTAAAAGTTTATCAATATCTGTCCTTTCCTTACACAGCATGCCATAAGCCTTTCTCTGTGATTTAACTTTCAGGAGTTGAACACTACTGCTTTTCAGTGCCTAGTGTTAGATATCAGGAAAAACTTCTACACTGCACAGATTATCAAAGGCTGGAACAGGCTGCCCAGAAAGCGGTTGAATCGCCATCCTCGAACGTATTTAAAAGGTGTCTAGACATGGGGCTCAGGGACAGTTTAGAAGTGGGCCTGGCAGAGTCAGATAACGGTTGGACTTGATGATCTCGAAGCTCTTTTCCAACCATAATGATTTTATGATTCTAATGATTCTATGATTCTAATGATTCTACTTCCATGACCTCACACAGCTATTTTCTGTTTCCAGTTCGTGCATTTCGATAGCAGATAGACCAACTGATTTTACTCACCCTTTGGATTTTGGAGACTTGCACCCTGCTAGCAATTGCTGTTCATCATCTTTATTGAACATAGACGTCACTTCCTTCCAACCCCGGAAACTTGCACCTTGAACCTACACAGAGAAGTAAACATTCTCATAAATGCAAATTACAGACTTACAAGCCCAGCGTAGGGCTGCCCATGCTGGCTCTGGGTGGCTGACAGGCAGCAACAGCCCTACCTCTTGTGTACTGTGCCATGGAGAAGTTAGCAGCTCTACACAGCAAACTCTAAGATTTAACCTTCTCTGCACTCAGTATTCCTATTTTTAACTCACCCAAAACTACTTCTTCTGGCCCTGCAAGCAAAAAAGTTAAGAGCACTGGCTCACCAGTGAAATGTAAAACGTGGCACTGGTGCACGACAGCGTGATCTCTAAATTTACTGCGACAGCTAAATGTGTAGAATAAATTTTTTGTTCCACAATATGAAAGATGCGATTCCCTCTCCCCAAAAGTGAAGAAAATATGATTATTTTTGACAGCATGCCTGGGGACTCTAAGAGAAATGCACATGTGAGTGCTGAGCACAGAATATGGAAGTTGCTCTTCCTTCTCACAAGGTCTAGTAGGAATGGCAGTGACAGTCTATCAGTGTTACCTGATTACATTAAAAATACAACAATACATTATGAAGTAGAATAAACACTCAAAACGAAATTGTAGTTGTCAACACAAGTGAAGGCTAATTCATCACCTACTATTTATTATGTTTCAGCCTTTTCTGCAGAACTCACCAGCACAAATTAGTATCACTCTGACATTTAGGTTTTAATTGATTAGTTTATAACTGGTACATCTATGTAGGCCTTAAATCGTGAAATATCACCTACGAATGAAGCACAAACACCAGACAAGAAAATACTGGTGCTGCCACCTCCTCACCTTTCAGAAACCCACAACCTTTAGCCCTTCCAGGAGTGAAACATCACCCTTGTTATCATCACACGTTAGTCACGGAGTATTTTCACCTCTTGTTCTCCTGTTGCACTGTGACCTACACCTTCAGTTCCCATCCACCTTCCCTACTCACACCTGAATCACCTCAGCTGCTCCAACTCACGAGACATAGCAAGTCTATTTTGGCATCATGAGAAAGATCTAGTCTAGACTCAGTTTCACTTTGGTGAGATACAAACATGGATTCGGCCTTTGGCAAAGCTCTGGAGAACTCTGAAGAGGGAAGGCTGAGCAAGCCCAGAGCAGTTTCCAGCTCTCGTTCAAACGATGAGGACAGACTCAGTACATGAGGGCCAGGTTCACCACCAGCCAGGCCTCCACAACTGCTCTGCTCCTCTCTTCCTAAACCCGTGTCTGATCCTACCATAAACCACAGCATTCCTCATGGCTTCGTAAGAAAAGCACAGCTTCCACATATTTTTTCCCACTATGAGAATAAAGTGAGTACAGATTATTATCATGCTTAATTTAAACATAAGCTTTCTATTTTTACTTATGTTAAAAATACGTAGACAGCTAACTTCAACATTGCATCCCTGTGGCTGACTTACCAGACCCACCTCACAGAAGACTGGTACCGTCAACAGCATAAAACAAACCCAGACAAGCTGCAGATGATACCTTCAACCAGGTACCTTGCTACACACGATCCTTGTGTTTAAACTGCCAGACTCTCCAAGCAGCACTGAACATTTAATGCTTCTGTGGTGTAAATAATGTTCTGAAGCCTCAATTTTAGTCTATATGGGCCTAATCCTGTTATCTGTTGTTCAGTTAAATTCCCTAACAAGTTTAACATGAGGATTTGTTGCTCTGATTTGGCTTCCTCTCACTGCAAAGTACTCCGTCCACAACAAACTTCCAAAAAAAAGGAAGAATGTGTAACAGGTTGAAGGAAGTGGTCTGTTTAAAGAAATAAAGAAGAAAATAAATTAGAGGGAAAATTCTAGAAAGCACTTAGCTTTTCATATGTTAAAAAAATCCTACATCTTCTGCTATATTACTCAAAGGAACCTTTGCTGCCATAGGCAAATCCACAGGTAAAAGCAGCACATAACAACTCTTACTGCCTTATTCCTTGAGGCCTTTAAACTGGAAAAAAAGACTTAAATACAACTCAGTGATCTAATTTATATACAAGCTTGTCTTTCTTCACTAACAAAGTTTCATCAAGCCACTGCCACATAATAAATCTGAAGATTAAAACCCCAAACAAACATAAAACCTTGTTACTGGTTTTTAGATAGCAATTTAACACAGAGAACTAGCTTGACTTAAATTACATGTGCCTTTAAGGAACAGCATTGATGGAAGACTATTTGGAGATAAGCATTTATACATATGCTTATGTTCAATGTAAAAAAGAGTGTACCTACTCATACACCTTCTTTCAATCTAGCACATCATACCTACTTCACCAATACAACTCTAACGCTTGTTGCATTGGTTTAGAAGCCCAAGCAATCCTTCAGGAAAAAACAACAAAAACAAACAACCCCAAACCATTTCATAATAAAATCCTGTTCACGTGTAGCCCCAAGCTTTCCGTATTTTTAACTTCAGATACTTTTTAAATTTCATTTCATTTAGCCTGACTCTGATTTACAGGTATCTTTAAGAACAATTATTAGAAAATTCAGTGTCAAGCAGATAGCATGTGCAGGTCTCCAGCCAAAAATTTACAAACTCTGCGCTCTTTCTGCCCTTATGTAAATCAGCACCTGTACACACTGCATTGTACCATTTCTTAGTATTTTCATAAACAAGTACTCCCACACTGGATCTATGGCATTTGGTAGGTGCATACAAGGATAATAACCATGTAGCAGATTTTAACTGATTTATTCTTCCCTCAGCTGGCCCTTAGGGGAAACATACCTCAAACCTTTAAGACATACTTCCACCACTTACTTATTTGGAGTTTCCAAAGGACACACTGCCAAGATAATCTACGTAAGAGCATCAATGTCCAAGTAGACCATATTTGACTAAAATGTGATGAAAACTGCACAAAGCCTACTGCGTATTAAATGGACTAGGCTGAAAGAAACCCCGCAGGTGCAAAGGCAAAACCAGAACTTCTGCCTCCCATGCCTAAGCCTCCTTTTCCATAGCTGCCTGCACCTGCACTGATCTTGAGGCATCTTCTCAGCAGTGCCACAGTTAAGAATATAAACCTTAGCAAAGGAGGAGGTCAGGTACTTATTTCACACTTCCAGAAGCTTCTTGCTAACTACTGAACTGTTTTAAGACAATAATCCTTCTTTTTTACTACAGCTGTCATGGGACTGCCAAGCTCGGCTCTCCCTGAACAGCATCTTCCATTGCCACACAGACAGACTGCGAGAGCAGATGGGCTGGGCTCCGAATCAGCTGTGAATTTCTTACATTCTTACAGAGCATCTGGAGGAAGATCCAGATCCCAGAACAATTAGCTTCCTTGCAACAGATGTCAAATGAAGGTCAATAACCAAAGAAGTGACATTTGGTAAAGCTGACTCCTCACCACACTGGAGACGTATTCCATGTAAAAAGATTAAAGTTATGCAAGGTATGAAAACTCAGTACTGATATGGTCTTAAAGCATCCAGCAACTTGCTTTGTTCTGTAATTCATTTTTACGACGCAATCGTATACAGAAAACTCAAAAATACTACTCCTATAATGTTCAAAGAAGTTTATATACATAACTGGCTAGCTTGTATTCTCAAACCTTGAAAGTATTTTTCCATGTGTCAGTGGAAAAAAGAAATAATTCAACATTCAACGTTTATAGAATCAAACAGCCTTTACAGCTGGAAGGGACCTCTGGAGACCATCTAGTCCAGTCGCACTGCTCCGAACAGGGTCAGCTTGAGCAGACTGCAAGGAGCGTGTACAGCTGGGTTTCAGTATCTCCACAGTTGGAGAATCCACAACATCACTGGGCAACCTGTTCCAGACCTTCACTGCCCTCATGGTGAAAACTTTTCTTCTTATGTTTAAAAGATATTTCTTCTATTTCAGTTTGTGCCCATTGTCCCTTACTCGTTCACTGAGCACCACTGAGAAGAGTGAGAAACCTTTCTTACTGCTCTTCATTTTCCTCACCAGATTTAACTCTAGGTGGGCTTCATCTTTCCTAAACCCCATCCTTGCATGCTCAAAGAATGTCTCTCTATTCTCCCCATGTCACTTGACCCTGCCTCCAACTCCTGTATTATTTCTTTTTATGTTTGAGGTTTTTTAGGAACATCTTGTTCATCCAGACAGGCCTCCTATCACTTTTGCTTCTTGCTCCGCTTGATGGGTTGGGCTATTCTTGAGCTTGGAGGAGGCGATCTTTGAAAATCAAAGCTGACTGATAATACTAGAACAGAACCAGGTGTACGTCAAAATTCCATTTAAAAAACAAACAAACAAACATAAAATTAAAAAAATAAATCAAGTGAAATGCCCATGAGGAAGTGCTAAGAAAAGAGAGCACTATTAAAAAGGACTAGAATTGTAATATCAGATGTTAGAAGGTCAAAACCTTTAGAGGACCAGGTTGGATGCTGCAGTCTACTATTTCTCAACAATGTTAATAAGAAGCAAAGGAGAAACTTCAAGGTGCCATTTCAGTACGCTGTGTAGGATTACAGACTGGTCTCATACCAGCTTGACTATGAGAGCACAGAGTATGCCTATGAGAACAGTCATTAATAAAGTTTCTCCCTTATCTTCCGTTTTAGATCGTGAAAATCTGTGCAGCACAACACCCTGTGCAATCACCTAAACGCATCAGTAGAAATGAAATTACACATACATTATAATCCATCAGGCGGCAAACGACTGAAAAATCAACATCTGTCCCAATAGGCATCCAAAAAGCTGGAGCACAGATTCTTTCCCTCTTCTAGAGGAAATCCCAGCGTAGGAAGTACTCTTTCACCACTGTGAGAAAGCTTCCATTTAATTAGCATATTTTCTGAAACTGGGGGTACAAGTAGTCACTTGTAGAACATCATGTAAAGGATGCAGTGTGTATCCTCAGTCAAACTTGCTCCTGTTTCTCACCCTCGCTCCCTTCCCCTCTGTTTTCCAGTGCTTTGCTATCTGTGCCCATCTGTCAGACAGATTCCCAGAGAGAAGTATCACAAGGTGGCAGATCTGGTTTATCAGACACTGCCGCTGAAAAGAGTTAACCCAGTCCATCACCTCCTCATATTGATACCGCCTTCCTTACGTTATGGTTTTGTACTCCTGTGACGCTCTGGAAAACCAGTCAAACTCACCAAGCTAGAAGAAATCTAATTCACTCCCTTTTTGCATTCCTTTGGGTTAGTGATAAGAATCAACTCATTAAAAGATGTCAAACAGTCACCAAAGAATGTCAAAGTTAAGGGCAACAGCACATTTTTTGTAGCAGCAGCTACTACAGCAGGTCAAGCACTCTCTGACAGTTGCAGTCATCTATCCACTTTCTTCCATACACAGAGTCATAGAATGGTTTGGGTTGGAAGGGACCTGAAAGATCATCCAGTTCCAACTCCCCCCACCATGGACAGGGTCACCTTGCGCTAGACCAGGTTGCTCAAACCCTCGTCACCCTGGCCTTGAACACTTCCAGCTTCTCTGGGCAACCTGTGCCAGTGTCTCACCACCCTCACAGTAATGAACTTCTTCCTAATGTCTAATCTAAATCTACTCTGCTCTAGTTTAAAACCACTGCCCCTCATCCTGTCACTGCCCACCTTTGTGAACAGTCCATCCCTTTCTTTCCTGTAGGCCCCTTTCAGGCACCAGAAGGATGCTGTTAAGGTCTCCCTGGAGCCTTCTCTTCTCCAAGCTGCACAGACCAAACTCCCTCAACCTGTCCTCACAGGAGAGGTGCTTCAGATCATCTTTGTAGCCCTCCTCCAGATACACTCCAACAGGCCCATGTCCTTCTTGTGTTGGGGGCTCCAGAGCTGGACACAGTACTCCAGGTGGGGTCTCACAAGAGCAGCATAGAAGGGCAGAATCACCTTCCTAGACCTGCTGGACATGCTGCTTTTGATGCAGCCCAGGACAAGGCTGATCTTCTGGGCTGCCAGCACACGTTGCCAGCTCACGTTAAGTGCTTCATCAACCAGATCTCCTAAGTCCTCCTCTGCAGGGCTGCTCTCAAGTTACTCATCATCCAGCCTGAATTCGTGCTTGGGATTGCCCAGACCCAAGTGCAGGACCTTGCACTTGGCTGTGCTGAACTTCATGATGTTTGCATGGGCCCACCTCTCCAGGCTGTCAGGGTCCCTCTGGATGTCATCCCTTCCCTTCAGCGCGTACATACAACTCTGTACATAGAGTAGCACTTCCCCAAACTTACCCCCTAAGCTTCACTCCATCAACTCAACCTTTATAGTATCGACTCAAATGAATCAACTGTACATAAATAGTATATGTTGACTAAAATTTTTCTTCCTTTAGATAAGACAGAGAAAAAATGTCTACTGACAGTTAATTTTATAAAGTGCCCCAGAAAGGGACAGCTCCTCTTAACTTGGAAGTCTCCTACAAAACTGAGAGGTATTCTTCCAAAAAATGACGTTACGTATAACATTTTTTATCACATTAACATATTCTGATGATTTACATGTCTCTTAGCTTCCCATGCTAGGAAAACAGGCAATGAGTATTAAATGAACAAAAAGTCAACTGGGAAACCGTAAAGCACCAGTAAGAAGATTTTTCCGTTAATGTTACTGTCAAAGGTACACAGTTTATCATTAGAGCTCTAATAGAGGGCAAGAAGTTCAGGAAAAATTAGGCTAGAAGGCAATGAATCAGGAATACTAACAGTTGAGTATATGCTATAGAGGTAGATAGTCCTAAAAGCAAATTTTAAGAGTACACTGCACAAAAAAAGAGTATGTAGATATAGATGAACATATAATAAAAAGGAAGACTACATAAATTTAGCTGAAAACAGTTAAATCCATCCATCAGATAGATGTGGTTAATAAACATGAACATCTTATTATGGGACAGGAAAAAGCACAGAATTCAATCAAGTCAAAGAATAATAATAAGGATCTGGGACAGTATTTTAGAGGTGAAAGACCAAGAGTTCACATTTCAAAGCAAGAGATTTAACTACGTTCAAATATTACTCTGACTCTAAAATGGTACTGCTTTATAAGCGTATTTTCAATATATTCCTGTTAGACTTTTCTACCTCTCGACTGCTTGGCCAGCAGGGCTCTGGAGCACAAAAGTCACTCTCTGCAGGCTAGAACAAGCTACATGACAGAGTCTTAGTGACCAAAAAAGAGCAATTATGGGGGATTCTTGCTGTATACCTGCAGTGGGAATCAGCATGTTCAATGCCATTGTGCAGTTAAGCAGCTAATCCCTAAACAGTCACTGCTCAGCATGTATGAAATGAGATTTCCAGAAATTTATATTTTAGCCAAGTATTAGCAGACCTTCACAAGTATTTTCACAGAGGACTGACAACTGGTGAACCAAAATCCTCCAGCGAAGCAGAGGCACTTCACAACACACTTTCAGAAATTTTTTTATAAATATAAACAAGAACGGATCTTCCTCTCAACCTTGTCTGAGAAGAAACAATTGTTTGTTCTACAGCTTCCCTCCCTCCTCCCCCTGAAAAAAATGAACCTAAAATAAAAAGCTAGTGATGGAATTTTCCATTCATGTAACTTACAGTTCTATAAAGTTAAAATAAGTGTTTTATAATAAAAAAATGCCAATGAGCATTAATTAAAGAAGCACTGTTCCCACATAGTAGGAAACCTATTTGTAGCATGCAAGAAGTCAAATAACAGAAGGTGAAAAAAAAAAAAAAACCACCTCCAAATTTGTCTTCCAGACATAAAAGCATTTGGCAGAGCAGGGGAATTTCTCAACTCGACCAACTGCCAGTGTGCAGACCAACACTTAGGCTGTCCTGTGGCACGTACGAACTGAAACTCCAGAATTTGGTTCTACCAGAATGTTCCAAACACCTCCAAATTTCGTTATTAAAATGACTTATTTTGTTTCTCAAAACTCTTTGTCTCTTTTGGAAAGCTGGCATACTAATAACTGTAGATGAAGTCTCCAATGTGCTTTTACGTCAGCAGCAGCTCAGCGCGTCGCTAAGACCCCCACAACAGCTTTGCAGAGGCCGGAGGACCTGGTGTAGCATGAACACCAGTTCCAGATGTCTGCCCTTCACAGAGCACCACTGGAAGGTTCACTGTTCCTCACTGTGAGCCATCACCAGGCTTTTTAAACCAGCCGTACCTGCCTTATGGGAGAGCTGTGAAGAGAGAGCTAGAAAAACTGAGTGCTGCAGTCAGCCTGCCCTCCCTCACCACTGAGCGGGCAGCTTCAGCTCGAGCAGAAACCACAACCATCTCCCGACCTCCAGCTCCAGCTCTTAGCACTGGCTCCCACTTCTGCACCTCCAAACTGAGGTCAAAGGCTTGCCTCTGCAAATGAGCATCAGGACTGTCCTAAAACAGTACTAAAGCCTAAAACTTGGGCTTTAAGAGACCAAAAAGGCTGTTTCCCTAAGGGGCTGACATACCCTTCATCCACTGTCCTGTTCTTCAAGAACTTTGTTGTTCCTCACCACACTGCTTCAACATGGAGACTGTTTTATTCATGACACATGCATACTGGAAAGGCCACACATATAATTCATCAGCTTTTTATTAACATATTAAAGAGTTTGGAGCTTCTATAGTATCACTGTACTAACAGCTTCCCAGACAACAGAACAACCAAATAAAGTACAGAAGCGCTTTCAGAAGAAAACAATAGAGAAAGAGAAGATGAGAAGGATAAAGTGTGCTGTTTTTTGTGAATAAATTTTTTAAGACAAAGAAGGTTTTACTTTAAAACACAAAAATACTGCATCTCCATGGTTTGCCTGGTGCCTTTTGTTTAAGTCAAAACACACACTTAGCAAGTAGTCCTGAATGACTAAGTAAGGGGCAGCAATGCTTCAATATAAAATAGATTAAATTTAAAGAATCTCTTTCTAAACATTCGTCATCTGACATAAAATGAACAGTAATTTATGTTTTCATAAAAGGAATACATTTCTTCTAAAAAGTATAAAAAAGGTATCGTACAATCTGACTTCCATTTTCAGTGAAAACTATATTACATCCGAAGTACAATAAAAAGAAGAGACAGATGTTCAGTTTATACATATTAATGTAAAGTATCCTATTACACTAATGAACCTATTTTTAAATGCTTTTCTCTATACCTATGGAATTTCAAAACAAGCTCTAGCATATCATAACAACTTCCAGTTCTTTCATCTTTTACTAATGTATTCTAAGAACATTAAAAAAAGATTCTTGGACACATATCAAGGTAAAAAACCCACTTAACTTGTATGCCTACTTTCTTTTCTGAAAGAGATATGAGATAAAATCCTTAACATCTTGTGCTCAGATAGCCAGCTGAGCTACACATGAAGGAATGAATAACCCAAACTCCTTCTACTTCTCATGTTTTCATCGCCGGTTACAGCTAGAACTTACTGCTTCCTTAGATTTCATTTCAGTTATTCCTGTGACTTCTTATTTACATTTTGTGTTTTCATATCTATCATGTGGAAGACAAAAATTAAACCTTTCCATCCCTATTAACGAAACTAAGTAAGACACTCTTCTAACTAACACTGCACCACTAATATTATTTCAAAGAGAACTCTATGACCAAGGATCAAGTAATCATAAAATCATCAATGAAGTACACAAATACCCTCCTTAATCAGGCTGTACATGAAAAACGGGTAACTTCCTAACACACATTGACTGAAATATATATGATAGAAAACTTTATTCTTCCAAAGAACATGTATTTACCTTTGTTGCAAGTTGTGACACTGAAGATGATGAAACTTCATCATGAAGAAACTGGTCTTTATTCTCAAAAAAAGGATAAAGATAAAAAAGGCCCACAGTCAGTTTTCGTTTGACAATTAGCAGTGACACATTTTAGAGTATTCATAAATACTGTTACTCTATTCAGCCTATCATAGAAGACAATTAAGAAAACACAATCACAATGCAAAGCTAAGCGAACACCACTATTAAAATAAGAGACATGAACAAAATTGCACTAAGAATGACAAATGCTGCACCAGAAGCAAAAAAACAAAAATCAAACCCTTACCAAACCAGAAACCCCATGCCCCAGAGATCACAAAGACCCTTGCATCATAACAATTTTTGTACAATTGAAAGAAAAAACTTAATTTGAATCTTAATAATTGTTTGTGGTTTTTTGATCTACCCTAATTTTCTGAATAGCATACTCTATGATGGTCTACACAGGCCGTAGGCTGGGGACAGAGCAGTGTCTCAGTATTATTTTCCACCTTCACATTAAAAAGCATTACATTTCTTTAACTCAAGGATGAACTCTTACCCACATGCCTCTCTATTTATAATTGCAGATTTCTGAAGGAAACCAAAGCACTGAAGATGCTAGTGTAGGTGATTCAGTAGGGGAGCATTTTTGTCCTTCTCTGAAGCAAGCTGGCGTCTTACTGCACTCAGGCCATCCTGCTTCTATCAAAGTTCTCTTCAAGACAGGACAAGTAAGATCAGCGTCAGGAATATTTAGAGGCCAAAGAAAGATATAGAAAGTGGGGCATAGCGTATGGGAATTATGTAATTTTAACTTTCTTCAGTCAGTGTTTTAATGAAAAAAATGCCTTTTTTTTTTTTTCCCACTCTACATATATCTTGAAATGCAAAACAAGGAGAGGTACCTATAACTGAAATTACTTAACTCCAGTTCCAAGAAAAAACAAGATTACAACAGACTGGTTTATGGAAAGTATCTTTGAAGTGGCAGTTATAGAGACTCCCTGTATTAACTGTGGTCCATTTTTTGCTTATGTCAGCCCCTTACTGCTTCAGTCAAATTTATCAACTTCCTTTTCAAATAAAGTAAATGCTAAGGAGCTGCTCTGTAAGTTTAATATTTGATTTAGGGTTAACTCCACGTGCAGATAACCACGGACACGCAAAACACACAGTATCCCAGCTCCGACACGTTACCAAAGGCCTCCCTCACTTTGCTAACAGCATCAGGAAGAGGGTGAGAAAGCCGGTATGGGAAGCGTTGGGTACTCCTTGTCATGTGGGGAGACTAGCTTCAAATCCATGCATCTTTTCTATTTTTATTTCTTATACTTTTAAATATATTTAGATTTGCATTTCTTTATTTGCCTATTAATGTTTCCATTTAGTTTATAAGCAATACTTTTATACTGTAGAAGGGACAAGGAAGGAATTAGGAGCATTTCTACAACCAGTATGAAGTCCATCATACTATAGTTCAATAAGAACCATATATTGAAACAGAGGGATTTGTAGATAGGACTTGGGACAGAACACAAAGTCAGGAACTCCTATTATCACCTAAAATGAGACTATTACTTCCTGTGGATCTTAAGAACTTTTTTTAACTTCCGGATTTCAGTTAGCTGTCTTTAACACAGGAGGAAGTTATTGCAGATGGGATACCAAAAGTGACAAAGTTAAGATTTGTATAGTACTCTAAAATTAAATTCAATTACTTTCCCTTTTCTCGACTGCCTCTTTTTTTTTTTTGTCTCTTTTTCCTTTTTAGAGAATTATTGGCAATGTTTTAAATGGAAATGCCACACAAATACCATTTCAGAAATTTCCTTGTTTTTCCTCAACACTCTTGGCTCTCAAACTTTCGGATGAGGTTGCAAAGCCTTAAACTTAACATGGTGACACCTCTGCTTGAGCACAGGGTAAGGGTTAAAGAATACTTCATCCGATTTGCTTGAATTTTTCCCAAGAAGAAAAAAAATAAGAACTAGAAGAGCCTCAAGGTAAAGTATGGTAAGAGGAGAAATAATGTCAGCCATCCAGAGCTACCAGTTTCAACAACCAACAATACCATCCCCAGAAGAAACAAGACACCGTTAGTACCTTCCAAAGAGGAAACGCCTCTCATTTTAATTCTTCCAGCTCTCCAGGTATCATAACAAGTGTAATAAAAATACGAAGGTGCATAAAGAGCCTTCACGCTCCACTACAGAGAAAAGATGGAAGTGTGAAGGAATAGAGCCTCTAACAAGCTGGAGTACAAGGAAACAAGAGCGTGAAGGAACTTTCCCAGAGCAAGCTTCTAGGGGGAAACCAAGAGTGACTAGTCAGACAGCCTAATAAAAAAATGAATACCATTGCTGATAAAAGATGTAATTCACAATAAATAGTAGACAAAAAGGGGGGTCTATTTGCTTCTTTAAAAGTGTTGACAACTAGGGCTGTGCTTCTGTGTTAACACAGCATTACTGCGCATGAACATGCAAGTCACTACTTCCTAAGGGATGAGACAGAAATTTACAGTTAGTATGCTCATGCAGCAGAGGTTGATGGTAAGAAAACAACACAAAGTTAAAAGATACAAAATACAAAGATTAAAAGATACAAAACCCTCAGGAAAGCAACTGGTGAGAACCCAGTACCTAAAATACATTTTTAGGGATGGAAGACCTATCACGTATCCTTTCAAGATGCACTGCCCAAGAAAAGGAGACTTGGACAACTATGGAGTGCTCATGATGTCCACCCATACATCTCGTGTGCTCCCAGTAAATCCTAATGGAACCTGGCCAGCAGGTTTGAATTTAGCAGTCTCAAAGAGAGTGGATTTCAAAACATTTTGTGGGAAAACCATCTTTGGGGAAAGCAGAGAGAAAGAGACCAATGGCCCAGGGCAGGAAGAGAGTTCAGGAGAAGCACGTGTGGGAGTTCAGAGCCAGCCCTGGCCCACACCCCACCGCAGGGCACTCTGCAGTAGGGATGGGTAGGGAGGGGACCAGTGACACCACTGGGAAGACCTGAGGAGAAAAGACAAGAAGACACAAACAACTCATCTTCACTTGTTTCCCACAGAATAATTTCCGTTTTTCAGTGACACACATCTTCTGATATTTATTCTCTACGCCTATTACCGTTCAGAGATCAGGAAGCCTATTATTTGGTTTTTCATATCTTCTTTAGGAGACAGGCTACTGTACAGCCACATGTAAAGAGTGAAGCTAAGCTTTCCTTATCATAGTGCATAACATATGCTGACACTGAATGCACACAAATTATTTGAGAGCATTTTAATCTGGCTGGTTTACAGTTACTTCAATTCATTTTTTACTTGATTTTGAAAGAAAAACGCAGACTGCATCATCGCATTTAGTAACTAACTGCTAACGCTAGTGGGAAATGCTGATCAGCAACTTGAATAGCCTTCCAGTTCTGGCAGGGGAAGGTTGGTATGCACAGCGTGTTTTCATAAGGAAACAAGTGCCCTTTTGTTGGACACACTGCAAACCATAAGGTACTCAAGGGATTAATTCAACTAGCACACAAGCCTTTTTGTACAGAGATCAAAACTGTAATCTACTTCCCTCAACTTCCTTTGTGGTAAAGTAATTAATTAAGTCTCCTTGGATCATTCATAATTCAGGGCAAGATGAGGGATGCTGGACATCAAAGAGTTAAGGCAAATAACAGCACATCTCACCCTGCATGCCCTTCTTTCTCGCTCTAGCACACAAAATGTTGTGTTATCAATTTTCTCTACCGGGTTATGGAACCTTCCCATCGTACACACACTAGCTGTCAAAGCCGAGCTTACGTAAGAATAAACAAGCTATTATCAAAAGAGTAGGTCCTTTTGGTGCAAATTCTCGTCCTTCTACTGACCTATCACATCCACTCTGCCTATCATCCATCATGTCTCATTAAGGACTGAGCATAATTTAAAGTCTAGATTATCACACCTCTAAGTGCAAATTAGAAAATTTACATTTGTGGTTAATAACAAGTAGAAAAAAACCCAAACCCAAACAAATGCCACCTCAAGAGTATTTAACGTAACTCTCAGTATTTCACAAACCCCATTAAATAATTTAGCAATAGAAGAGGGTAAAGCTAAATAAATAAATAAATAAATCAGTCAGGAAATCACAAACCTGAAAGTTAACCTCTGAAGTTGGAAAGATTCCCAAAACACTGATTACGAACCAAAGAGCTGAACCACTATATATACACAACCCGACCAGAAACAGTCAACACAGATTCAGAAGAGGTGATCGCGCTGTCAGATCATCGTCTTAAAACACAGCTAACAAAAGAAACCATTTCCGTGGGTTTGAGTAGGATCTTGCTATAACGTCAAATGAAATAAACAAGACTAAAGCAGACTATTAATGCAAAAGTCTCTCCGCTTACCTAATTTTAGAGCTGAATAAAGAACAGTGCAAAATGCACTCAAGCAACAGTAAGAAGAAAGTTATCAGCAGCAGATCAGTGGCACCGAGCCTAGTTCTCTTTGCTGCACCTATAATATACACCTGGAAAAATTCAATGTGTGGAGATACGCTTCCTCAGTCAGGAAACTGAGGCAACAGTGATCAAATGTAAACAGGCACTGCAACAACTCTGCAACTGTCACCATTATTTTTCATCTGTGTTAAAAAAAGTAAGCTGAACTGTACCTGAACACTCACACAAATCTGAACGTGCCCTTAAAGGAATACAGTGTTTGCCATTTTAAGAACTAAAGGGTGCACTACTCAGTCCCACACAGCTTCCTTCTGGGACACGAGGCCATGTGTTCAGCACACCTAACTCCCGTGCCGAACCGTGAGCTGCCTCTGCTCCTTTCCGGCACAGGTAGCCTAGATTGAGATCAAAATCATTTCATTAGTCTTGTCCATATTTTGCGTACTGATAAATCCAAGTCTTTCATTTGTATGTCCCTACAGCAAGCGAGTGAACCAAACTAGCCATCCGGGTAGGTGGTGTATACCTATTAATATCACCAACGAAAAATATTAACCTAGGCATTTCTAAAGTCTGTTCATGCTAAAGAGTAGTTTTAAACTCATTTTTCTCTTCTATAAAAAAATACGTTTCCACACCAGATTGCTCACTACACTTTGAAAAACATCTCCATTATGA